TTTATAAATATTAAAATTTTAAATTCTCTATAAATTTTTTATTTAAACAAAATATTTCATTTTAAAACATTTAAAAAAAATTTAAAATAATAAATTATTCTGTTTAAATTATCCAAAAAAAGGAAATTTTTTTTGAATCACGAGGCCTCCTAACTTATGAATTAAAATAAAAGGAACTCATACAACAATTTTTTTTTTTCTCTCCAATAAATGATTTGATTTTAGATTTTTTTTTTAAACTAAATTTTACATTTTTCTTTGATTTGTATAATTTGTGTAGCTTTTTTATTTTTTTCCTTAATTCATCTTTTCATTACGTTGTTTATCTTACATGTCTTTTTCTTTTCTTTTATCTCGTACAAATAAATAAAATCTTCTCCATTATTAAAAGGGAAATTGTTTTTAAAATGAAATCCTCTCCACCCAAGGAATAGAAGAAAAACCTTTATTGTTGTCTTACATTAGCATTTTACTTCAAATTTTAATAACATTTTTTATTTTTTAAATCACACAACTTATTTTATGCTTTTTGACTTCTCTTTTACTATGTAAGAATGTACGTTGCTTAGAAATTACTTTATATATTGTGATTATGGAAAATGAACTTTTTTTTTTATTTGGGAATCAAAACTAATATAAGTTTAAATATTCAGAAGATTCGGTCCAAACTTGCACGAACAATAATCATAAAATTTTACTTTGATAATTATGATGGATTTCTATTAGTTTTCAATTCAGTAAATAAAGTTCTAGATTAAATTGAATACTACTAAATTTTAGTTAATCACTAAGTGAATAATAATATTTGATTTAAGAATTTTTAGCATGTCATTGACTCCTTATCTACATAAAATATTATCTCTTATATATTTACATTCTTATGTATAAAAAAAAATTCACACTGACCAACTGAACTAATTAAATTCACTGGTCAAAGGAGAATGAAAGTTTCATTTCAAATATATGTATAATCTACAGAATTTTATTTGAAAAGGTTCAATGAACGTTTCATTTCATCGATCACTACTCGTTTGTCCAGTCTCGTATAGAGTTTCAGGTCCGATGAATACCGACGAATTTCTTGGCATCTGTTGTATATTCTGAACAAATAGTTTATATAAACATTGGAAACTTGTCTTCTTCGTAAACATCTAATTGGAGCCATAAGGATGTATATGACGATGAAAACAAAACAATAGAGTAATTTCAATGGATTACGTATGTATTTTTGTTGCAAAATTCCTCCCTATAGAAGTTCTTTGTTTCTTTCAAGTTTCAAGGCTGAGTTGGAGATCATTGCTCTGATAATATTGGAGGTCTTTATTGGAAAAATCAATCATATGTAATGTAGGGCATGACAATGTGATTGCGTACGAGAGATTATTAGCTTCCTAAGATGGTTGTATTTGTTCTATTTTAGCTTGAATAATCTAATTAATTCGGTTTTACTCATTGTTCAAATTCAGCATAATCTTTTTCTAGATGACTCATCATGCAGTATCTAATTTACTCATTCTACATATTATTTATGCATCCTTTTCATTACATTAAATTTTAAATGATTAACCAAGGAAAGCATACTCTTTCATCACATTTAACTCATAACTTCTTTTTTTTCCAAAATAAACAAAGTGTTACAAAAAAAATGAGTACATTCATTGTATTTGCGTTGAAAAAAGAGTTTCATATACCACTTACCATTAAAGATAACCATTTTCGTGTTAAGTTGAATTTTAATCGATGCAGATTTAACTTCTTAAATAATTAAGAATGGAATATGATTAACTAACAAGATTTTTCTTTTTTTTAAGTAATCATATTATTGGTAGTTTTGTCATTAACTGTTTTCTATCAAACTTGATTGATCCTATGTTGTTATTTACAAAACTCGAATTCAAGATGACCTGACTTACTATACTACAAATATTTTCTTGAGTTTTAATTTGCAAGTGAAATGTAAAACAGAAGCTTGATGTTGAAGAATATATTTCAGGTGGGTAGTTATAATGAACATTCCAATTTTCACAATGAACTTAATTGAATTTAGATCCAAAATGAGTGGGGCAATTAACACAAAAGGGTATCCATTACTCCTTAAAGAAGGACATTAAACCATAGAACAAAGTGGCATAGCGTGGCATTGTTTGAAAGCAAAATATTTGTTTCCTAGGAGGTAAACTTATCTGAAAGACAGCTAAGAGAGTGAGGGAATGACCCATAAAGATGTGTATGGAATAAGTCTTTTTGGTGGGGTTTGATGCTTTGGTGAGGTGCTGGGTTAGGTAGTGGTGATTGCCATAAACTCACACCTAATGGTGTGGGATAGGGGAGCACCCCCATGCTTAAATGACCCATTTTGGCCTTTGAGGTCCCCTCTCTGCCCTTAACTTTGTGTCACAATTTTATGTTCCTTTATACAAGAAGATTAAAACAGCAGCTTTTGTGGGACAACCAGCCCATACTCTTGTTATGGTTGTGACTTTCTTCATTTGTGAATTTGGGCAAAACTACCAACACCTGTGAAATGGCTATATTTTTGTTTTTGTCATACTCCAATTCATGCACTCCGCTGCTGCTACTTAGAGTTTCTCAATGTTCATGCACTTTTGTGTATTTCAAGTAGGTTGTATTGTTTGTCTCATCACATTTAAGATATTATTTATTTTTATTTCAGTATGGACTTTTATCATTTTGTTTTTTAAGAAGACATCAGCTTTAAGTTTTTTTTTTATAATGAAACTTAGTCATTGATAAAATTAATAGATATTTTACATTAATAACATGATTATAATTTTTTTAAAAAGAAAAACTCAAGTCCAGATTAGATATAAGGTAAAAATAAAATAAGTTAATTTTATATAATTAAATTGGTCCAAATTCATATTCTAAAACTATACTAAAACTTATTATAAATATCATTAAAGAAATCATTTATCATTTATTCACACATCAAATCTAATAATATTAGACATAAAAAACTTTATTAAATCAGTTTTGTAAAAATAAATTAAGATCGAACTTACATTTTAAGAATCTTAAAGCGTAAAAGAAGAAATTATTCTTATTTTTAGTCTCAAACATATATTGTGAGACTTTTAGTTGTACTGAAACAAAATCAATTTTAGATTCTCAATTCAATTTGCAGTTGAGATATCCTTAGAGTTGTTCAAGTACATTGTTATGATAGCCGATAAATTATGAGTTGTCTCCTTTGTATGGCATTCAAATGGTCACCAAATTTGTTTGCATATATGCAGATTCGTATGTTCTCTGGACGAATTACACGTTTCAGAACCTACCAAAGAATAAAGCTGCAACATGAATTTCACACGTCGTTATCCTTGATTTAATAATAGCGTTGCCATCACCCAAGACCTTGGTTTCTTGTTTTGTCAAGACCATAACCCATGTCATAAGTAGAAATGGGATATATTCATCACTCTCGTTTTGTTCCATTTAACTCGCAATCTGTACTATTTTGATTAGACATTTTGCTAGTTCACTCCATGCAAATTAAATTGATTTGACTTTTAACGGATTGAAATTCATTAACTTGTGAGCTAACATGCTAATCTGCCAAACATACATTTAATTTTCTTATCATAGGTTAAACGGTTAAACCTATGCATAATAATAAGAAAACTCTATTAAGTCTAACAGCTCAAATAGCTTACAAGAGTGACTAGCTGGAAGTAAGGAAGAATTTGATTATTTTAAAATAAGATCTTGAGATGTAAGATTTTGATGTCCATGATATATGGCAAATGAAAAGAGATACATAATTCTACTCTTATATATTATATTGGTAGGATTGAGTTGAGGACTCCTCAGATTATTGTTGAAGACTGTATATAAGTATATTTTCAAAATATAGTAAATTTATTCGATTAAGGTGATTACATAATAATCGAGCATGTCATTTAGGCTTAAGTTCAATAATGATATAATATAAATAATGGTATTTTAAGATAAAAAAATACTTTTAGATTGTATTAATTATAATATTTATTGCATCACTTTAATTGAAACTAAATATAGTTTTGTATTGGAATGACTTTTACGGGTATACTCTTTTTTCTTCTTGGATCAATTTGGTTGAGGAACCCTATTCCTTCTCTGGTAGGTAAGGTTAAAGATGATTGACAATAACTAATAAATGGAATACTTGAAGAACACACACTAGGAACTCAAGGGAGAAGGATAAGATTATCTTTTTTGTAGTTTGTACCATTGTGTAGGTACATATATATATTTTTTTAATTTTTATACAACAATTAAGGAAATATGGATAAAGGATAGAAAGAGAAAAAATTAATGTTTGGTTGATCAAAATCACATCTTGAAAGCACATATTAATCTTTAATTATCAATTTTACGATATTGTATGAATTATATCTATGACAAAAATATTTG